CACAAGGGTACGACCGAAAGGGGAGCGTTATCAATCCGGTAAGATTAATCACGCAAGTTTATACCCGGGCTTCCTATCCACTTCACTCCATAAGTAGTACACTTCGCTTTGCTTCCAAGGCTTTTCGTGCCTTACCGCCTTTAGTCCTTAGCATCTTTGATTTATGAGCAACCGTGCGTAAGGTCTCGATACGTATATTTTGACGGAGCTTTTAGCGAGTTTTAGTCGAAAAAAGTAGTAGAAAAAAAGTACGAGGAAAACTTGAATATTGTTTCGAACGTGTATTATATTGTAAAAATTCATAATAAAATTTATAATTATATATAATTATGAATACGAGTCATTCTTTATTAAATATAAAATATCTTGTACCTATTATCGGATTAACCTCAAAATCAATAATTAATTTTATAAGAATCATGATTAAAATTTTCAAATCTTGTAAAACTTCTCTTCTAACAATAAAAATATGATTGTGAATATTACTTACTACGACTCATGGACTTACTTCTTCGATTCAAGAATCTGTTTTAAAGGCAAGACCACGTTACATCCATGCCAATATCCGTTCAGCGATCAACGATTCGAGAGAAAAATGTAATGTAAGATTCAATTCAAAAATGCAACGGGCGCGCACTCTATCGAGTGCAGGCTGAACCCGTCCATGATTCTTTCCTCGTTGCACCGCGGTTTAGCGTTAGAAACGTCTCACTCGTGGAACCTGTCGAAGTGCGGGTATTCAACACGGTGACAACCGTTGCTGCACACATTGTCGAAAGTATACACGTCACCCCTTCCGTCCCATTCGGTGCGAGAGGGACGAGTAGTAAGAGGGGTGGTCGCGTGGAAAGTGGAAAGGGAAAGCCCCCACCTAATGGCCTCAAGCAAACCCCCACTTTTCCCACTGGCAATGATGCCAAGGTACCAACGAGGAGGGTCTATAACCGTCCTTTGTCGAGTCGTGCTGCCACCTGTGCAGCAGCTTTCGTCGACCTTGCCCGTGACTGGTCGCCAACCACTTCTTGACCGTCGATCTTGCGCAGGAAAAGTCTCTTTTTAACCGTCTTCCTTCGATTTTGTTCGAAGAAAACATCGTATTGGTTCGATAGCAGCATCTTAGATTCACGATGAAACTCCCATGTGTTTCAATAACGGCATAATTTTAACTGGACAATATCGATAGTGACGATATATGGAATAAGATTCGTGTTTGCATCTAAATTTTAGCAGCTTTAGCGTTTAAAACAATACAAGTGCACGAGGATAGAAAGGCGTACAGTTTTATCGAAGCAATCGGATGAAACGTGAGCAAATCGAATTACGTGTGGCACGCGCTTGTCGTTGAATCAGATAAGCCGTGGGGTTATTTAGGAAAATTGTAACCTTTGAATATATTAGATAAACATTTTAAACATGCTCGCAATATATATCGTGCAAATAATTATGGATTCAACCTATAGTTTAATCTATACGCGGATGGATTTACACTGGGTATTACGTATGCTTCTCGTATCGTGCATAATCTGCAATTATAGGCGGTAATTGTATGATAGCTCGTACGCATTTTCAAAGTAATGGATAAAGAAAAAAAATACTCTTGCATACAGTAGTCATTGTATACCTGAACGGGCTTCACATGAGAAATTTTATTGCGGTGTATAATAATACTTACTATATATATGTAATCTTAACTTATCCATGTTCAGGCATTCTAGGGAAATCCGGTGATAAAGAGCACGATAATCGTGTTCAAATATATTACAAAGGGAAAGTATAACGTATAACATGTTTTTACAATCTGATTAGCATTTCGTTCTATTTTTAGTTCAACTATTTAATAACATGTTGCAAGAATTTAATTGCGAATCACATTATGAAAACGTTCATTACATTTAATAAATATGAATGATTTCTATATAAATACTATATTAACAAGCGTCCCATTGAAGAAAAAGATTTTTAATTATTGCATTATTTTAATTATTTTTTTTCAAAATTAATATCAAACATGTATTTATCGATTTAAAAATTCAAGCCGATAACATATTATGCATAACAGTAGCATTAAACCGTATCATCTTTCCTTTCATTTACATTCAAATTCGCGGCAGAATGCGAATCATTAGTTGAAGCGTAACAATGCGTAGAGCCGATGCATTTAACATGAATTGCATGTACGTACTGTGCTAGACTATAGCCTATAGAGTAGGACGCATTAACATGTTAATGCCTTGTCTCGCGCTACAGTTAACTGTCTCGTCTCACTACAGTTAAACGTGTTGGTTGATCCATTGGCATTAGTAATTCAAAGCGTGGAGACACCTATATAGCAGGCACAGTCATAATAAAACATCCCCAATGGTATACCACCGTTTGTAGATCGACTCGCTACAAATTGCTCCATTACGATTAATTCCGTTTTGCAAATCGATATTTTGGTTACGAATTAAACACACGTGAAAAAGAGGAGGAAAAATGTCGATAAAAAAAAATATAATTTTCAATAAGGAACAATGGTCACTTGATGAATAATTCAACGTTTTATTAGATAAACGTAACGCAGCTATTTTAAAAATCTTTTACCGAGAATTCCACGATATTAAACGTCGGTAATAGTAATATAAAGGAGCCACGATACAAAGCCACTATTACTCTCTGTTGGCTTCTTAATTCCCGATTCCGAAGACGCGCGGTTGATCCTCGTAACACACGCACAGAGACAGAAATCCAAAATCGATGTGCGATGACATCGGTCAGTGGCTTAGTTTGGGCGTAGTCGTAGCGGACGTCCACGTTCTGTACCGTTGACAAATTCGGTATCGCATTCTCGGAAAGTCACCGGTATAGGGATAGAAACTGATCGGAGGAAGGGAGTTTTAAGGTGGAGTCAAAGAGCGGAAGAGAGAAAAAGAGAGAGAATGAATAAAACAAAGAGAGAGAATCCCTTCGAGCAAGAGCACACACTGCAATGACACTCGCGTATATTGACTCATACACTTGCACGTGGGCTTACAAAGCGTATACGCATAGTAGCGGCCTCTTGAAGTCACCGGTGGTAGAAGGGTACGGAGGAGAGGAGTGAGAGTTGCGCGCGGCTATGTGTAGACCGCGGTGTTAACAAACGGTACACTAATGTTTCACGTCTCAGTGTGCCTCCACCGTATGTTTCCATCTCGCTCCAGTTTCTGGACTCTCTTTGTCCTGCAATGTGTTCCTCCGTCGACGTCGCCGTGGCGAGCAAGAGCGCGAAGTAGTAGCTCAACGTGCTGCGCACACTGAGGGGTGACGAGAAAGGCAGTGGCACACGATTTGGTGGTAGTACGAGTAGCTTCGAGTATACAGGAGGGGATAGGGAAAGGTGGTAGGGGGCGGAGCAAGGCTAGTCCGCGCCCACGGAGGGGAAAAAAGCCGAGCTCCGCACCCACCGCGGCATATTAGAGGGGGGCGAAAGAAGTGTGGAAGGGGACGATTTATCCAGTTTGTTCTCTCTCCCTTCCTCCTATGCACCGGTATGCACCACTACAAAGATCTGTTTAAGCGAGGGGGTAAACGTGAGAGCGTGTGAGTTTCACCACGAAACGCAAAAATATCTTCGCTGGCAGGTACTTTTCGTAGGTAGGTGTGTATATCGGCAATCTGCCGGCCGGCGAAAAATGTCAGTGCACCTTTTTATTCACCCCGCGAACCACATCGTCCCCTTCGGTTGTCCCCACCGCCGTTCCACCGAATGTCCTCCCCCGCAACCTCTATGCTCGCGATCCACCACCTACAGCCGCCCCTACCCGCCCCTTTGATCGGCGGTCGCGCCAGGAGGGCGACAAGTAAGCGCGAGGAGGCGAGTTCCCTTGAAAGAACTGCGCAAAACACACTTTCGCGATGCCACGGCCGAAGTCGTCGTTGTCGTCATCGTATCCGTCGCTCGCCGGATTGTCAACTTGTATATTGTTAGTGATCATCGGCACGTTGCCGCACTCGCGTACAACGGTAGACCAACAACAATCATTTGACTTGGTTAGTCTATACGATCGAACTTGTCGTTCGACGTGGATCACGTTTTTTTAAATTCGACCGTAACTACGTGAACAAAATTTAAAAAGTCAACGATCAATAGCGTCGTTTGTTATCGCGACTTTCTAAAAGCCGATGACAATTGGTGGTGAAACGCGATGGGACATACACGCATCATCAGCGCATTAAACTGCTGGTACGCGTTTATGTCGCGTAAATGTGCCCGTGTAATACGTTCGTCAGCTGGTGATGTTCGTGCGTTTCACTGTGTAAGTGTCGAGCGAGAGAGACATCGCGGTGGTATATTGAAGTGAAAAGTAAACGTGGAGTCAAAGTTGGAGGGAAAGAGAGAAAAGTTGTGTAGTCAAGTGTCGCGTTGTGTGTGGAGTAAGGAGGAGGATCTGAGGAGGTGGGGGCCAGAGGTATAGTGAGGGGGCACGAAGTAGTTGACGATCGCCACGGTGAAGGAGAAGAGAGAGAAAGAGAAAGAAAGAGAGTGGGAACACCGCGGTGGTGGGGAACCGTCAGAGTGTGCGGTCGTGTCCAAGAAAGAGGTGGAGAAGCGAACAGCAACGGCAGGGAGGGGACAACGGGGGAGAGCGAACAAACTACCGGGAAGAAGTCAGCGGCAAGTAAAGCAGCGCCGCCGAGGCTAAACTTCAGGATCTATCGAACTAAAATTGTCGTGTAGTTTCTGCCTCCTCTTCTCGCCCCTCCTAACGCAACCTACCTCTCCCTTGACCCCACCAGAGCCGAACACGGTGGCAACGGCAGCATCTCGGCCGGTTGCGCCCCCTCTGGCTCGAGCACCCATCCCCTCCACAAAACGAAAGCCGAACGAAGAGGGAAGAAAGCGGCGACGGTGGGGCGTCACGAGGGACGAGGAGCGTACGGACGAGGGAGAAGAAGAGATTGGAACGTGTCGTGAAAGAGAGAGACGGAGAAACAGAAAGAGGAAAAGGAGAGAAAGAGAGGGAAGAACGGGAATCGGAGTGAGAGGGGGTAGGCTGGGAGCGCGTTAGCTGGCCCCACGGGCGACTCACCATATTTTATTGTCGCGTTTGCCGACGCTAACCGCTGGTGTACGGCTCCGTGCCCGATCTACGAAGATGCCGACCTGACTCGAGAGAAGAGAAGTATACACAGAACACTCGGCCTACTAGTAGAGTGCGGTACGAATTCGCGTGGGTACGAGGTGCCGGTAGTGGCATCATCAGCCACCAGCAGAGGTGGCACCAGGCTCCCCCACCACACTGCGCGGCGTGCCGGCCTGGACCCTCCCACCCGTCTCACCGAGGGCAAACCATCTCGCAAAAATCGTCCCCCTTTCCATGGAAGGAAAAGAACTACGGCGACGACTCTGCCACCACCACTGTCGAGCCGACCGTTTCTCGTCACTACCACCACCACCATCGGCACACTACCATCGTTATCGCCAGCGCCACCGTCACTGTACCGCCGCCTCCTCCTACACCGATCAACCGTCATCTCGAGGAACGAGGATACCAGAACTTACGGATTTGGATCGCGTTATCCGGACCTTCGACGAACGCGTTACTTATAACCTACTGTTGGATTTACCATCTCTTATATATCTTTATTGGTGATTATCCGATCAAAATCGGATATAAGTGACGATTTACAAAAGTGCGCGTGTGAATCATATTAGACGGATAATTGAAATACTTATTCGATCGAATAATTATTCCGTAAGCGCGCGCGAAAGAAGTTTCCGCCAAGTTCGAAAGTAGAGAGGGAAGACTCGTCGCATGGACACGCGCCCTCCTTGTACCCCCTCTAAACACGAGTGAAAACATACACATACATGTGGACGCACACGCACGCGAATCATGCAGAGGTGAAGACAAAAGTGCCGAGGCGTTATACACATGTGACTCGCGCCAGTTTGTAGTTACTATTTGTTTAGAGTGCGCGTATATAGATTTGGTGATATAATTTGTGAGTTAAAAAAATTCATATCGATCAATTTTCAATTTTAATTATAAAAAAAATAACAAAAACGAATACGAGTCTCCCTATGTCGTGATTTCACGGGGTGTAAAGCAATTCAACGTGTAGACGGATTTTACAAGCAAGGAAGGAAAAAAAAGGAGATCGGTGTGCGCGAACAAGTCGATCCTCGCCTTTCCTTTTTCACGAGTCTCTTCGTCACCATCGCTCGAGTTCTCGATCTACCACTCTCTCCCTCTCTATCTCTCGTTTCGCCTCTTGTCCGTCCCTCTAGCGTTTCCTCTCGCTCGCTCCTCCCTCTATTTCGTCTCGCTTTCTCATTTCCTCTCTCTCTATATCGCGCTTTCTTCTTCGCACTCGTACTTATGTACCTCCGCCTTCCTAACCGCTGAGCGGAGGTCTGGATTCCGTCGAAAAGAAACGACGATTCGGAGGATAGTCGCGACCGATCATAGCTGGCGCGTCGATCGGATCAACGGCGTGAGTTACATGAACGAATCATCCACCGGTGCATATAATACTTATATTTAAGTAACGCGTTAATTGTATTTCTACCGTTATTAATTTATGATTTATCAATTTCGACTTGTGTCATATCATTTTTATCATCTGGACAAATCTACAATCTTTGTTTTTCGATCTCTAGTGATTAGTGTGAACTGTTCCTGTTGACTTATAGTTGTCATCGGTCTGTGTTGATCGTGAAATCCCGAAACCGACAGTGTCATCTTTATAACTGCATTGTGGTCGAAGATCGGAAAACTGGTCCCTGCTTCTCACAGTGCCTGCGTTTGTGACAGTGCAAGTGTATATACGACCGGAGACCGCCTTCAGAATCAAGTAGAGTCGGGTACTAGACAGTGCAATAAAACAGGCGTGAGTTTTACAGTGAAAAATTTTTTGCCATTTTTTTTTACGTTGTTTTGCCATTTAGTGACTTGCTCTGGTTTTCCGACCGGCAATTATATCCGCACGATTTTATCTTTCTCGTCGTGTTACGTGGTGAAAAAATAAAATTAAAAAGAGAAGAAAAAACAAAAGTGATCTGATACTTGTTCCGAGTGACTTGGTGACACTGCAACAGATGCTACGGTCTGGAAGGATGATCGCGTAGCGGCGCCCGACCATCACGGCCCTGAGTGGCCGACACAACATGTCACAGTTCTCTTTTCGAGGATCGCCAAATCTACAGGTGAGTCCTCGTCATTTCGTGTTAATTCGTTTTTTCAACTCTAAATTCTATCTACCATTTTTTTAATATAATCGAGTGATACGATTAACGTGATCATCTTTAAAGGATACATCTTTAAATCGATATCTTTCGATGATATCAAGCAATATAAGTGAAATCGATCATGTCATGTAGGAACTTTGTTACTTCGTTGTTAATACGATTCGAGGATTTTTTTTAAAATTTCAAATAATATTTAAAATTATTGAACTATATGATAGTGTTTTAACAGATAAAATTATTAGACTGGTCGTAAAACATATTTATGAATTCTTTTAATTATTCGCATTATGTTATTCATTATATGTAGTTCATTATCTATCGTCGACATTACTTAATCATTATCATAAAAGTATCACAAATTAGTAAAAATTCTAATATTTTATTTTAATATTATATTAATTTTAATATATTTGAAAATTGTCGTATAAAAATTCGTTATTTCGTGTCGTTTTGTGCTATAATATTTATTTAGGTATTTTTATAAAATTTTTATTATTTACATTATTTTTTATTGTAATATATAAAGTATGATTATCAAAAAATTTTACATCAGTTTCTAATAAAATTTTGTCTTGCAAGAGAAAAATCTTACAATGATTGGAAAAACAAAACATGATATTGAAATATTCGTGACAAGTGCACATATATTTCAGCATTCAGAGTACACGATTCGAGAAACTATGGTCGTTGTATTTCAGGTCTGTAGATATATGAATCCGGATATAATTTCAACCGTTTGAAAGTCAAATGTATTCAACGGTCAAAAGCCTCACCTATTTGTGTCTATCTGTTCTCTTCCCGTGTGTGACTTCGCATATGCCAGGCTAACCAGCGAATGAATCGTTTATGCTGTTGACTATTCACCGCGAAAGCGGATATCGTCCCTGCTGTTTGCGGATGCGCTTTTACGAGCAGTCAAGGAAGTTGCTTTCTTCGTTCCCCCGAATTACGATCGTTGCTTGATTTCATTGGAAGAGGCTATTAATGAAATTACATTCAATATATTTTCAATCTCTTCACTTTCTTTATATATACGATATTAATGTAATATATAAATTTACAAAATTAATTAACTAGCAAAAATGTAATAAAATTGAAATTTTATTTTGTAATATGACGCTCAAATTTCGAACGTCATGCAAAAGATTTCTTAATATAACTATTCAAATTTAAATTTGATCTCGATTATTTAAATCAAATGTAATATGTATCTTCATTAGGAAAAAAAAAATGTTAATGACTTTTTAGAAATTGAGATTTAAATTAATTTTCAAATTGCAAAGTATAAAATTTAAAATTCAAAGATGGTGCTGTCATAAAATCATATCCTACAAATTTCAATATATGGCATGTGTGATGTATTACACGTTTATAATTTTCCAACTTATTACTTGTTTCCCGATTATATCAATTCAAATGGATTACCTATGAAAATTCTGACGAGTTGAAAGCATAATTAGTCGTTGCACCGATTCATTTCGGTTCCGTGACCGCAAGGGATAATTTGTAGCGTGGGATCTTGTTCGTAGCGAAAATGGATAGCCGTTGGCAAGCCTGAGAGATTCGGTACCACGTGTCCTGACATGTTGCATATAGGTATACGTTGCATACCTATGCACTGTGCATAGCGCCGAGCTGAGAACATGTGTTGCCACGCCTAAAGCAACGTTCCGAAATGATCGAAGAGCTTGCGCCGGGCTAGAATAATTATCTCGTCTTACCATCAACGAGCTTTTTGTTACCATATCCTCGCCATTGTATGGCCATAATGGATCTTCGAAATGGCGATTCGAACATTCTTTTTTTTTATTATCTCTAATTACACGATTTTTACTCTTTGCATTTTTCTAATAAGAAAAATTATTGAAAGAACGAAATAAAACGATAATTCGAAAGTTCCTTTTTCTGTCATTTTCTTGAAATTTTTTTTTTTTTTTTTTTCATAACATTTATATTATAATTTTTATACTTCTCTCGAAATAAGAACTAAGTTTTAAAATATGTTTTCTAAATTTTTAAAGACAACGTTATTGATCTTCTATTCTGCGCGAAAATGTTCACGTGTAATGAGCTGGAACCGAGTACCTTGTATAAAATACAACACGTTTGAAAGGTAGCAATTCTTCATGCAAGCAATGAGGCAGACAGTGGAATCGTTCGCGTATCACATATTGTTTAAGTGCCGATAAAAATTAATGGCCTATTATCTATGAATATTATTCCACTTATAAAACAGAGTTACAAACAAGCAAGCACTTTAGTCACGGTTGTCGTTTTATCGTTGACATATTTTTCTTTCGAATTCCCATTTCCTCGTCATCTTTTACACGTTAATCAATCGCCTCTACTCTACACACATCATTTGTTACGCCACCGCTATATAGATTGTAGTAATTCAATCGTAAACTTAACTGTAGCGTTTCAATTTTTATGAAATAAAACAAAGAGAAATAGAAGATGGTAGTTGAATCATCGGACATTACTTTCTCGAAATGCGTGTGCGCGACACTTCTTATCGTAATTATGTCACAACCTGACTAAAAATCAATGATAAGCTGATTATTTCCATCGTTCGTAAAGTTCAGTTACTCGATCGTGTACATAGTATGTACGATTTATCCAAGTTTCTTTATCATTTTTTTTTCTTTTTTTTCCGCTGTGCGTTTGGCCCGATAAATGAGTTAATCGTACGCCTCTATTATTGTAGCTGTACCGGAGTCGGTTGACATTTGCACTGGTGTCGATGATGTAATGAGTCGTCGGAGAAATTGGCGGTGATAAATACGACACGTGAAACGTGTAAATTTTATCATTAATAATCGTAAACCGCGTTCAGGTATGCTTATACCACTTTCTTAATTTCTAACTGGTTGTACAAGAAACGTTCGACTTTTATTTCTTCATCACGGCAGAAGTCTTTCTGGTATCCCTATTTCTTGCATCATCGTTTCGATTAGATTTCTCTCATTCAAACCAACACCGACCCTGTGGGTCATTTCTGATCCGTGTTATTATATACGTAAACAGAAATAATTTCTCTAATAAAATTTATAGATACGTTATTATATGATCGTTAATTTTCCGCCGGCGGGTATCGAATTTTACGACGCGACGCTATTTTACTGTTTATTGTTAAATACATTATATTTTGTAAAGAGATAATGGAGGGACGTATGTGGGTTAAAAGCGACCCGACGCTCGCCGATTTTTCTTTTTTTTTTCTTTTTTTTTTTTTTGAACGAGAAAAATTTTTTATCACGGATCGAAATAGCCCGAGCACTGCCAATTTGTTTCTTCATGACCTAAACAGGAGAAATTCCGTTCCGTGGGTCAAAAGTGACCACCGATTTGTTTTATGACATTAGCGAGGGAATTTCCGTTTTGGATCAAAAATGGACCTATCATCTGCCTTTCGAGAGTTTAAAGAGTTTAACTTTTCCAAAGTTAAAAAAGATACTAAAAAAAAAAATATGTTTTAAAAAATAATTAATTATTGTTCGATGAATCAGAGTGAAATTTATTTCGAAATATTTAAAAATGTTAAAAAAGACTCACGACAATGAACATATCGGTTTTCGCACGAGTGTAACGTATTTACAGGGGAAGAGGAATCAAGGAATGTCCTCGGTGTGGCAACGAGCTTTAATTTTGGCCCGAAAAATTCAGAGCCGCACCCTCGAAGAATGAAGATACCATAGCGACGACGGACGTGTATATTAAATTTAGAACGCGGCGAATTCATATCGCTAATCTGCGTCACTCAATCTAATTGAAATAACGATCCTTCCACTGCTTCGTATTCTCTTTCTTTTGTAATCTAACGTGTATTTTTGGAATTTCGTCTCGAGAGAAATAAAGTGTCGACGTATCGTAAGAAACAAAATCAAGAAATCTGTAATCGAACGAGTATATAAGTAAATATATATTAATACATATTAATATCGCGGACAGCTTTGACATTAAATTGAAATCATTTTGGATAACTTGTGATTAATTATCAGTTACTTATCTTGTAAGCGATATTATAATCGAAGGAAAGAAAAAGAAATTGAAAAGAAAGGTTATCTTGCTACCAAGGTAGAATTTCTGTATACACTGTTATATAAATATTAAATTAAAGGTAGTTTTATGTGTATAGAATTCGATATATAATCGTGAATCACTCTTTACACATTTATTTTTTCGATCTTTATTTAGTTTTTGTATATCAAATTTGAACATATGTTCCACTTGTACAATTATTTTTAATATGTGTATAGTTCAAAAATTAAAAATATTAACGATAAAATTTTCGAAACTCAGATAAAAATAATTCATTAATCAATGATAATTGATTCACTTTATGTGTAAATTTTAGGTTTATTTCGCAAAAACATGATTATTATTATTATTATTATTATTTAAAAAAGAAAATAAAAAATTACTTAAATATTCTCTATTTTAGTTTCGAAAATTGCAGAATTTCGAATTTGAATTTAAAATTCGAGTTTCAAATTAGTTATCAATATAAAAATTAATACATAATTTATAATGTTATATATTTTCCTTGTAAAAAAAGTCTTTATCCGTTTTTATCAGCTTCTACTAAAATTTCATAAACTTTCTCTCATACCTCTCTCCAAGCATAGCAACGTTGTCTTCGATACGGCGGTGTCCCGCGTTCGAAACCGCAAAAAGGCGGCCCGTCCGCGTCGAGCGCGATTATAGCGCAAGCTCGCCACGAAATTACCTTCGTGGCCGCCCCTCGTGACCGCCCTCCCTCGACCAGTCGAATCATGAGTCTCCATCCGCCTTGGAATTCGCGGAATTGCGCGATCTGCGGCGCGCAAGTGTGGTGGGCAGAGGGAAAGAAAATTCGGCCGCGTTTCCAACACCTTTCAACCAGGAATGCGCTACGAGCAAACCAGAATTCCTCAATGACGCTTGCTCGCGTAAAAATTATGAATGGCCATATTATT